GGTTCACTTAAAATACTGGAAGTTTCAAAATTCCATTAGGTTTTCTTAAAAAGAACCTCATTAACTCAATGAGTCCAAAGCTTTCATTAATGAACTCATTAACGAAAACTTTGTTTAGCTTCCCTAATGTGTAAATTTGGAATGATCATGCAATGGGCTTAATGTAACACACAATCAACTCAGTACCCAAACACAACCATGCAAGATAGGAGAGAATAATGAGAGTTACAATAAGCATATATGCAACTACATATATTTAAGCTCATAGTTCAACATCAATCAATCCAAAATACAAATGCTAATTAGTAACCACTGATTACAGAATTAATCAAAGCATCTAAATAAGACTTTACAACTCCTAAACCTAGGAAATCTTAAATGCCTAGCTAAAAACTAAAGATTAAAACTAAAACTCCCCTTTAAAGCTTGGGAACTCATGCTACTCCACCATCTTCAAGAGTTGAAAAGCTTAGCTCATCATAGCCTTGGAATCAGCTCCAACCAGAGGTAGATCTTCAGCCATAATAGTAGCAAATGAAGGAAATGAAAATGGATGAAGAAGAAGTGCAGGAAAATAGAAGGTGAAGAAGATGGAGATGGAGGATTAGGGTTTTTGTGGGAGAGATGAGAGAAGATGATGATAGAAATGTAGGTGGAGGCTGAATAATAAGGATCTGACCTCATCATACCCAAAATAGGGTTTCTAACCTGAAAATTGCGTGTATGGGTCGGTTCCTGGGGTTGGGTAGGTCAGAATTTATCGAAATGGTCGGGTTTGAAATTTGTTGATACGAGGGGTTCACCGCGGTGAAACATAGGTTCGCCGCGGTGAACCATGGCAAAGAGCTTTGCTTCGACAGATGATGTTCGCTGTGGCGAACTGAGGCAGAGGATCCTTTCTTGCTTCTTGTGCCTTGAGTTCTTCAATTCTGGCCCCAATCTCTAGTGTCCTACAATAAAAAGCAACAAATTGAAGTATCAATTGCCCTAGAAATCAATTGAATACAATTAATAACCAATTATGACAATTTTATTCTCAAAAAGACACTAACTTAAAGTAAGGACTCTTAATCTAAATTAAGCACAATTATCATTAAAAAGGGCCAGAAAATACCACAAAATCATGGATAATGTAATGAAAAGATAATAATAACTTGTGCTCAATCAAATTCCCCCACACTTAGACCTTTATACTCCTGGACAAAGCTCAAGAATAATTCAAAGAGATACCAGCACAAAGAGAAACACTACCATGCTTAAAGATGAAAGCAGAAGATTAGTAAGAAACTCTCACAGGGTTAACATCAGTAAACAAGGATATGCTAAGAAAATGAGCACAATGGACAATTAACTCAAAAGATTGATCAAGAAAGATCTATCTCACGGATAAGTGTTTCACTCTTAACTCACTTGTTTTGGGGTTATTTCACTCCAAGTCTACTCAATCCAATTTCTACCATAAGCTTGTAATAATTCTACCTCTCCACCACAGGAAGCAAACTTTGTAAATCAAGAGGACTTTTAAGGGTTAGAACTTAAATGAAGGCCAAGTGAAATGAATGGAATGAGAATGAAAACGGAAATGAGTACAAGCATACAAATTATTAAGACAGAATTAATCTAAATAAAAGCAAGGGAAGAAGCTACTTAGTTTTTATTTTAAAATTTTTGTATTTCTTTATCCTTTCTTTTCTTTGCTTTTTCTCTTTTTTCTTTCTTTCTTTCTTTCTTTTTCTTTCTATTTTCTTTTTTTTTATTTAAGCAACTTCTTCTTCTTCTTTTTTCTTTTTTTTTTACTACAAATAACTGCATGCATGTACTCAAGATGAAGGTCCAAAGGGGTTTACAACAGTAAAATGATTGGGTTTGTGTTTGGGAAACGAGGATTTGAAATCGAATGCCTCTATCATTTTTACAAAAATTGATTCACTAAGCTTCGATTAAGAATTAAAACAAGTTCTAGAGAAATATGAATTAAGCAGATTCACTCAATTTCATAACTTTAGGCCCAAAAATCCTTCCAACAAGGCTAAAATCTCAATTAATCAATCTCAAGGGTTAACAACCACACAGTCATAGTTTCAAAGCATATCATCATTTACTATCTGTCAAATACATGAGAATAACTAGCCCAAGTTCAACTCTTATTTAAAGGCATGGGAAGTTTTCTAAAAGCACAAGTAGACTTTGAACTTTCTATCAATTTTAAACAGAATGTAGGAGCATAAAGAATCTAAGCCAGGAAAAATTTCTGAAGACTAGTTGAAATTGCAAAGAATTTATTATATAAATAAAATTTATTTTTGGGGGATTGTCGCGGCGAACCATGGCAGAAACGATAGGAGGGTGGGGTGTAATAGTAGGCTGTTTGAGGCAATCATACCGGAAGAGGGGTACAGGGTCGAAATAGCTGTCATTATCATATTCAGGTACCCCGCACGTGCGGAAAATGTCAGAGATAAGGTGGGGAAAAATGATGCTATTGGTGAGTTTTTTGGTGTTGACGGAATCGTAGAGGGCTGATTAGATAGTTTCAGCTACATTGAAAGTTTTTCCGGTCATGAGGAGATAAACGTAAAGGGCTTGGCGTTTAGGAAGGTTCTGGAGAAGGGAAGTGGGCAAGATGTTGTTGCAGACCAGGTGCAGCCACGGCCTCGCCTTAGGTCGGAAATCGAAGCGTTTCAAGTAAAGCTCAGCAGTGTGAGGGCGATGCCAAGTGGCACCATCCCGGCACAGGGTCTGGACAATTTCATCAAAAGGATAATTATCTCTGTAATGCGAATGTGGGAATGATGAACCTCAGGAAGGCGGTAGTGGCGGGATATGTTATCTGTGGTGAAGGAGTAATTCACACGGTGGTCATGGAACATGATGGATAACATGCCATTAAGGCGGGCGTAGGTGTAGAAGTGGCGAACGAAGGCATCGTTGCCCATTTCTCGTGAGTGAACCAATCCGGTCAATTGGGATTCTCGGAGTCTTTGGACAAAGGGGTTGTCTGGTGGGTCAAGAGGAAAGGGCCTTTCCTTAAGGAGGGGGCACTGGTCTACTAACTTATAGAGGTCGTCATAAGACAAGGCTTCCTCTGAGTCTGAGTCAAACACGAGCAAGGGTTCAGGGCGTTTGGTGCGAGGCATTGTCCTGAAGCAACAAACAACAGAAACACTAAACACAGAACAAACAACCACAACCAAAACAACCCAGAAAAAACCAAAATTACAACCTAGATAGTAGCAAATGGTTATATAATGATTCATAGGTTTTTAGAGGATCAAAAGCTTTCAGAATTAAATAAAGAGATTAAAGAAAAACACAATGTACTATGAATCATTAGATAACCTACAGGCTACGTAACTACAAACTAACAACAGAATAACGCAACCCAACAACACAATACCAGAACAAACAAGCTAAATAACAACTAAACAAAATTAAACTAAAGGAAAGAACAAAGAAAGAGAAAAAAACACACCGAGAGGGGGAGAGACAGGCGCGCACGGAGAGCAGAGAAAGAGAGAGAGAGCATGAAAAATTTAAAGAGATAAGGGAGAAGAGAAGAGAGGGAGAAGGCGTATGAGAGGGCTAGAGAAGGGAGGAAGCCGACGGACTAGGGGGAGAAGGAGAGGGAGGGCCGACGGGTGAAAGGGAGAGTGCGTTCAGAATGAGAGGGGATGTGCGAAACAGGGGAACTGGCAGTTTTGAATGAAATAGGTTAATTGGGGGGGTTTAATGGAATGGGTAGGGGAAAAGACTAAAAAGGGCTCAGGAGAGAAGAGTGGGTGACTTAGAATGGGGGGCAAAATGAGAAAATCACGTGAAAATCAGGGAAAAAACGAAACCGTCCAGCGTAGAAACGGCGGGTTCGCCGCGGCGAACATGCTCGAGACGAAAAACAAAGGGGGAGAAGGATGTTTTGCGGCAGCAACAGTATAAGTTCGCTGCGGTGAAACCATCCCGAGAGGAACACACAGAGACTGGCGATCTTCGCCGCGGTGAAATGTCACCGAGAGCAACACAGGAGAAATAGAACCACTTCGCCGCGGCGAAGGATAGGGTTTGCCGCGGCGAAGTGTCACAGAGAGGATAGAAAAATACAGAAAACACTCAAACAACAAAGAAACACAACACCAAACAACAGATAAAGCTGGATACTTCAAAAACTTTAAAGCACATCAAAAGAGATCAGAAGGTGTTCAACAAGTCCATGATTAGGCAGTATACCACAGACAAACTTTCTCAATCAATTTGAATCATATAAGTCATTACAAACACCAAATCATCAAGCACAAAATAAGATAGGATAGAGATCAAAACTTCCAAGGGGTCTTATTGAATTCAAACAATAACTACACTACTTTCCTACTGAAAAGGGTTTCTCCCCCACACTCATTCAACATACAATGCATAAAACATAGCAAGATCAATAGTTAAGCAAAAGCATGTAAATGAGTGAAGGAAAGAAACGACCAGGGAGTTAAGGAGGCTTTTGGTTCTCATGGTAGAGCTTCAGTTGATGGCCATTAACTTTAAGCGTTGCTCCAGTTTCCTCATTAAGAAGCTCCACCATTCTAAAATTATGCACCTTTGTGATTGTGTAAGGCCCATCCCAACGGGTATTGAACTTTCCTTGGTTAAACTTGAATCTGGCCTTAAACATCAGTACCTTGTCTCCCACCTTGAAATTCTTCCGTAGGAGACCCTTATCATGCACAAATTTTGTCTTCTCCTTGTAAAGTCGAGAGTTCTCATAAGCCTCTAATCTCAACTCCTCTAACTCTTGCAGCTGCAACTTCCTCTCTATCCCAGAAGATTCCAAGTTCATGTTACATTGTTTGACTGCCCAATATGCTTTATGCTCCAACTCTACTGGTAGGTGGCATGCTTTGCCAAAGACTAAACGATAAGGAGACATTCCAATTAGTGACTTATAGGCAGTTCTATAGGCCCACAATGCTTCCTCTAATCTTAGGCTCCAATCTTTCTTGGATGGTTTGACTATCTTCTCCAGTACCTGTTTCACCTCTCGATTGGACACTTCAGCTTGGCCATTGGTTTGGGGGTGATATGCAGTGGAGACTTTGTGGGTGACACCAAATTTAGAAAACAAGTTATCTACTACCTTATTACAAAAATGTGTACCTCTATCACTCACCACAGCCCTTGGAATCCCAAACCTACAGAAAATGTTGGACTTAAGAAACTTAGAAACCGCCTGGGCATCATCTTTTCTAGTAGGTACAGCCTCTATCCATTTGGAGACGTAATCAACAGCTAGAAGAATGTATATAAAACTAAAGGACGGAGGAAAGGGACCCATGAAGTCAATTCCCCAAACATCAAAAATTTCACAAAACAGTAAAGGTTGTTGAGGCATTTCGTGTCTTTTACCTAACCCTCCAAAATGTTGACATTTGTCACAGGATCGACAAAAGTCGTAAGAATCTTTAAAAAGGGTTGGCCAATAAAAACCAGAATCTAAAATCTTCCTAGATGTTCTCCTTGCACTGAAATGACCACCACAAACCATGGAATGGCAAGTTGCAATGATAGACTCGAACTCTTCACTAGGCACACACTTTCTTATAACCTGGTCACTATATATCCACCATAGGTGAGGGGCATCCCAAATGTAGTGTCTCGATTCACTTCAAAGTTTTTGTGCCTGAAATTTAGACATAAAAGAAGGGGTGAGTCCAGTTATAAGATAATTAACAATATGTGCATACCAAGGCTCTTTAACAGCTAAGGCACATAATACTGAATCAGGAAAGGAATCACAGGTGAGTTCAGAAGAGTCTACTCCCCGTGTATCATCTAGTAGCCTACTTAAGTGATCGGCTACATGGTTCTCTGCCCCTGCTCGATCCTTTATTTCAATGTCAAATTCCTAGAGAAGTAATGCCCACCTAATCAATCTTGGCTTAGATTGTGGTTTCTTGAGAAGATAGCGAACAGCTGCATGATCAGTGAAAACAGTCACATGAAAATTTAACAAGTAAGGCCTAAACTTTTCTAAAGCGAAAACAACTGTAAATAGCTCTTTTTCTGTTGTTGTATAGTTGACTTGAGCTGCATCCAATGTTTTCGAAGCATAGGTAATGACTCTGAGAGCTTCTCCTCCTTCTGGCCTGACATAGCTCCTACAGCAAAATTAGAAGCGTCACATGAAATCTCAAAGGGCAAAGTCCAGTTTGGTGCAACAAGAATAGGAGGAGAAATGAGTTTAGACTTTAAATCATCAAAAGCAACTCTACAAGAATCATCAAAATCAAATTTCACATCTTTTTGTAAAAGCTTTGAGAGAGGTAAAGCAATCTTGCTAAAATCTTTTATAAACCGCCTATAAAATCCCGCGTGACCCAAAAATGATCTAATATCTTTAATACAAGCAGGATAAGGCAAAGAAGATATAACCTCAATCTTAGCTTTATCAACTTCAATTCCCTTTTTAGAAATCAAATGCCCTAGCACTATCCCTTCATTGACCATAAAATGACACTTTTCAAAGTTTAAAATCAAATTCTTTTCAATGCATCTTTTTAAAACTTTTTCAAGACTAGCAAGACAATCATCAAAAGAACCACCATAAACAGTAAAATCATCCATAAAGACTTCCATACATTCCTTTAAGAAATCACAGAATATAGCCATCATACAACGTTGGAAAGTCCCTGGAGCATTACATAACCCAAAAGGCATCCTACGATAGGCGAAGGTACCAAAAGGACATGTGAAAGTAGTTTTATCTTGGTCCTCTGGTGCAATAGGTACTTGAAAGTACCCAGAGAAACCATCTAGAAAACAGTAATGAGATTTGCCTGCAAGTCTCTTAAGCATCTGGTCTATGAAAGGAAGAGGGAAATGATCTTTTTGTGTGGCATCATTGAGTTTTCTATAATCTATGCACACACGCTAGGAATTCTGAACTCTTGTAGGAATAAGCTCATCCCTATCATTTCTAACCACAGTAACCCCACTCTTTTTAGGTACTACATGTATCGGACTAACCCACTCACTATCAGATATGGGATAGATGATCCCAACACTTAGAAGTTTGGTAATTTCCTTCTTAACCACATCAACAATCAGGGGGTTTAGTCTTCTCTGGGGTTGTCTCACTGGTTTGGAACCTTCACTAAGCAAGATCCTATGTGTGCAAATGGCTGGGCTAATCCCCAGAATGTCCGCTAAAGTCCACCCAATAACCCTCTTATGCTCTCTCAATACAGTAAGGAGTCTTTCTTCCTCAACCTTAGACAGGGAGTTAGCTATAATGACAGGTAATCGCTCATTATACTCTAGAAAAGCATATTTCAAAGTAGAGGGTAGGGGTTTCAAATCAAGTGTAGGTGGTTGCACAATAGAAGGAATCAATTTATGAAGTTCAAGAGAGAATAGATTACTCCTCTTTCCTTCAACCAGTGAGAGTTCCTCATCCTTGCAATTAGCTTCCTCTCCAAGCATTGAACCAACTTCTAGTTGATCTACAGTAACCGCCTTAGAGGGATTCTTCTCCATGACTCCTTCCTCCATTTCTGAAATAACAACAGGAAACCTTTCCCCAAGGGAATCATCATTGATAATAGAGGAATCAAAGTCTACTTTGGAGTCAAGGGAGGAAACAGAAAATGCATGTGGGATGGAAAGCATACAATTAAACACAGTACAATTAAGGCATGTAACATCACCACCACATGAGCAAAAAGAAGGTGAAGAGTAAAGAGATGAAAAAAAAGAAATTGTTTCATCCTCATCAATAGATTCATCAGTGTAAATATCAGAATAGAAAGAGTCATTTTGCAATTCAACTTCAGAGCATGCATCCTCAACAGCAATGTCTATCATGTTAACCCCCAAAAGTGAATAGTCCTCATAAGGATGTTTCATTGCTTCATACATGTTAAAAGAAACTTTATTATCACCCACCTCTATAGTTATGGTGCCTTCTTTCATGCTAATCATGGTATTAGCAGTCCTTAAGAAAGGTCGACCAAGGATGAGTGTAGTATCATTCACACGCTCAGAAGACATGTCAAGCACATAAAAATCAGCAGGAAACACCAATCCTTTAACTTGGACTAAAATGTCTTCAATAATGCCCTCAGGATACCTAATAGTCCTATCAGCTAGTTGGAGCACAACAGTGGTAGACTTAAGAGTCTTGACTCCTAGAGATGTGTATACGGACTTAGGCATGACATTAATAGCTGCACCTAGATCTAACAGGGCTCCCTCTATAGTAACTTTTCCTATTGTGCAAGGGATAGTGAAAGATCCAGGGTCTTGACACTTTACAGGGATTTGGACAAAGCAGACACATTAGAGGGTAATTGAACTCTTTCATTAGGTTTAAATCTCCTCTTTTGAGTACATAATTCTTTTAATACCTTAGCATACTTAGGAATCTTTTTAATCAGGTCAAACAAGGGTATATTCACTTCTACCTTCCTAAATGTCTCAAGCAACTCATGATCTTGCCTCTCCTTACCCATTTTCACATTTTTCAAATAAGCATTAGGGAAAGGTAGTTCATTGATGTTTACCTCCTTACCTTCCTTGCTTGAGGCTCCATGATTGCTTGGCTCAGATTCCACAATTGTCCCCTTGCCATCATGTTCTTTTGAGGCTTCTTTCAGCTTTAGCCTCTTCTCCTTGGAGCTTTTAGACTTCTTCTCCTTTGAAGGTGCTTGTGGCAGCTCATCACACAAGATCTCCTCATCTATAACTTCATCCTCCTCTTCTTTGAATTTCACTTGCTTCCCATTCCTAAGGGTAATAGCATTCAAGCCCTTAGGATTGATAATAGTGTTGGAGGGGATTGTGCCACTGCTCCTTGCTTGTTGCTCACTCATGTTGTTGGACAACTGAGTTACGTAGGAGTTAATGTTCTCAGATTTAGTCTCCCATTGCTCCATCCTCTTTTCCAAAGCACTAAATCTAGCATCATTCTTGGATGAGTCTTGTTGAATTAGTGAAGCTAAGGAGTTGAACTGAGTAGCGTTAACAGTCCTTTCTTCCTTCATTAAGGCCATCATATTTTGTAGGAGTTGATTTATTTCATCCTTAGGTGGGACAGTTAGGGCTTGAGATTGGTTTTGGAACTGGTTTGAAGATGGACCAGCTCCTTCACTCTTCTAAAATATGTTTAGAGGTCTACTATCATCATTCCTCTAGCCCAATCGAGGGTTTGCTTTCCATCCCTCGTTGTAAGTGTTGGAGTAGGGGTCCCACTTTTGATTTGGACAGCCTTGGAAGACTGTAGACACTTCCTCATAGCAGTCTGGACAAACGCTAGAAATATGCATAACTGATCCACATGTTTCACAACTAGGCGCTGTAATGTCCATAGGAGCGGATGGGCGATGCACACTCATATTCTTCAATTCAGCAGTGATTAAAGACAATTGAGATGTCACTTTGCTTCCCAAAGAATCTACTTTTGATTCCAAAGCGTCCATTCTCCTACTATGCACCGAAGCAGCTCCCATCTCATGCACTCCTCTAGTATCTCTCACACCATGTTGTTGATGATTCAGGGCCATCTTCTTTATCAAATCCCAAACCTCCTCAGCAGTGGAGTCTATCAAAGATCCTCCTGATGCAGCATCCAACATACCCTTCTCTTGGTTCTTCAACCCATCATAGAAGTACTGCACCAGTTGTTCATTCGGAATTTGATGATGTGGGCATCTTGAAAGTAGGTCCTGAAATCTATTCTAGTAATCATAAAGAGATTCGTCATAGTCTTGCTTGGCAGAATAAATCTCCTTCCTCATTGATGAAGTACGAGAAGCCAGAAAGTATTTCTCCAGAAATGCCTTCCTTAAGTTCCCCCAACTGTGGTAGGCATCAGCTACATGTCTTGGGAGGCTCATGTACCATTCCCTAGCTTTTTCTTCCAAGGATAGATGAAAAACCTTCCATAGCACTTGGTCCAATGATACTCCCACAGGCTTCATACTTTGACAAATCATGGAAAGAGATTGCAGATGGAGATATGGGTCTTCTCCTGTCAAGCCATGAAATTTGGGAAGAGAGTTATTAATCTTAAAGTTAACTTCAAAATTTATACAAGCCGCAGTAAAAGGATCAAAATTTACATCAGAAGTTGTGGCTTCTCTAATTGTCCTTCTCCTAGGGTTTCCATTATTTTCTCTTACTCTCTCTTGTTCACCATTACCACCATTCCTCACTTGATTAGCATTCAGGTTAGGATTAGGTTGGTTTTGTGGTAATTCAGCCATTATATCTTGGTCAGTAGGTTCACTCTCACTACTGGATAGGCTAGATTCCATAGAAATATTCTCTTGCTCAATCACCAACTCACTTGTCCCCTCAATTCTTTTCTCTCTTCTTATCTCTCTGAGTCTTCTCTCTTATCTCTTCAAATTTTCCGTGCTCTCTCTCTCTTTCTCTGCTCTCCGTGCGAGCCTGTCTCTCCCCCTCTTGGTGTGTTTTTTTCTCTTCCTTTGTTCTTTCCTTTAGTTTAATTTTGTTTAATTGTTATTTAGCTTGTTTGTTCTGGTATTGTGTTGTTGGGTTAGGCTATTCTGTTGTTAGTTTGTAGTTACGTAGCCTGTAGGTTATCTAATGATTCATAGTACATTGTGTTTTTCTTTAATCTCTTTACTTAATTCTGAAAGCTTTTGATCCTCTGAAAACCTATGAATCATTATATAACCATTTGCTACTATCTAGGTTGTAATTTTGGTTTTTTCTGGGTTGTTTAGGTTGTGGTTGTTTGTTTTGTGTTTAGTGCTGTTGTTTGTTGCTTCAGGACAATGCCTTGCACCAAACGCCCTGAACCCTTACTCGCGTCTGACTCAGACTCAGAGGAAGCCTTGTCTTATGATGACCTCTATAAGTTAGTAGACCAGCACCCCCTCCTTAAGGAAAGACCCTTTCCTCTTGACCCACCAGACAACCCCTTTGTCCAAAGACTCCGGGAATCCCAATTGACCGGATTGGTTTGCCCACAAGAAATGGGCAATGATGCCTTCGTCTGCCACTTCTACACCTACACCTGCCTTAATGGCATGTTATCCATCCTGTTCCGTGACCACCGTGTGAATTACTCCTTTACCATAGATAACATATCCCGCCACTACTGCCTTCCTGAGGTTCGTCATTCCCACTATTCGCATTACAGAGATAATTATCCTTTTGATGAAATTGTCCAGACCCTGTGTCGGGATGGTGCCACTTGGCATCACCCCTGCACTGCTGAGCTTTACTTGAAACGCTCCGATTTCTGGCCTGAGGTGAGGCTGTGGCTGTACCTGGTTTGCAACAACATCTTGCCCACTTCCCATCTCTAGAACCTTCCTAAACGCCAAGCCCTTTACGTTTATCTCCTCATGACCGAAAAAACTTTCAATGTAGCTGAAACTATCTAATCAGCCCTCTACGATTCCGTCAACACCAAAAAACTCACTAATAGCATCATTTTCCCCCACCTTAGTTGCTGAAGATTTGAAAATTGCTCAGGATTTTTCGTTTCTGCCACCCTTCGCCGTGGCAAAGCCCCTTTGCTTTCATGTTAATTAGCTCTCGGGCACAGTTCGCCGCGACCAACTTATGTTTCACCGCGGTGAAGGCTGGCCCTTTCTCCAGATTTCGTTTCTGCCATGGTTCGCCGCGACAACCTCCACAGTTCGCCGCAGCAATCCCCCAAAAAAAAATTTATTTAAATAATAAATTCTTTGCAATTTCCACTGGTCTTCAGAAATTTTTCCTGGCTTAGATTCTTTATGCTCCTGCATTCTGTTTAAAATTGATAGAAAGTTCAAAGTCTACTTGTGCTTTTAGAAAACTTCCCATGCCTTTAAATGAGAGTTGAACTTGGGCTAGTTATTCTCATGCATTTGACAGATAGTAAATGATGATATGCTTTGAAACTATGACTGTGTGGTTGTTAACCCTTGAGATTGATTAATTGAGATTTTAGCCTTGTTGGAAGGATTTTTGGGCCTAAAGTTATTAAATTGAGTGAATCTGCTTATTTCATATTTCTCTAGAACTTGTTTTAATTCTTAATCGAAGCTTAGTGAATCAATTTTTGTAAAAATGATAGAGGCATTCGATTTCAAATCCTCGTTTCCCAAACACAAACCCAATCATTTTACCGTTGTAAACCCCTTTGGACCTTCATCTTAAGTACATGCATGCAGTTATTTGTAGTAAAAAAAAAGAAAAAAAGAAGAAGAAGAAGTTGCTTAAATAAAAAAAAAGAAATAGAAAGAAAAAGAAAGAAAGAAAGAAAGAAAAAAGAGAAAAAGCAAAGAAAAGAAAGGATAAAGATATAAAAAATTTTAAAATAAAAACTAAGTAGCTTCTTCCCTTGCTTTTATTTAGATTAATTCTGTCTTAATAATTTGTATGCTTGTACTCATTTCCGTTTTCATTCTCATTCCATTCATTTCACTTGGCCTTCATTTAAGTTCTAACTCTTAAAAGTCCTCTTGATTTACAAAGTTTGCTTCTTGTGGTGGAGAGGTAGAATTATTACAAGCTTATGGTAGAAATTGGATTGAGTAGACTTGGAGTGAAATAACCCCAAAACAAGTGAGTTAAGAGTGAAACACTTATCCGTGAGATAGATCTTTCTTGATCAATCTTTTGAGTTAATTGTCCATTGTGCTCATTTTCTTAGCATATCCTTGTTTACTGATGTCAACCCTGTGAGAGTTTCTTACTAATCTTCTACTTTCATCTTTAAGCATGGTAGTGTTTCTCTTTGTGCTGGTATCTCTTTGAATTATTCTTGAGCTTTGTCCAGGAGTACAAAGGTCTAAGTGTGGGGGAATTTGATTGAGCTCAAGTTATTATTATCTTTTCATTACATTATCCATGATTTTGTGGTATTTTCTGGCCCTTTTTAATGATAATTGTGCTTAATTTAGATTAAGAGTCCTTACTTTAAGTTAGTGTCTTTTTTAGGATAAAATTGTCATAATTGGTTATTAATTGTATTCAATTGATTTCTAGGACAATTGATACTTCAATTTGTTGCTTTTTATTGTAGGACACTAGAGATTGGGGCCAGAATTGAAGAACTCAAGGCACAAGAAGCAAGAAAGGATCCTCTACCTCAGTTCGCCGCAGCACACTTCTGCTTTCACCGCGGCGAACATCGTCTGTCGAAGTAAAGCTCTCTGCCATGGTTCGCCGCGGCGAACCCCTCGTATCAGTAAATTTCAGACCCGACTATTTCGAGAAATTTTGACCTACCCAACCCCAGGAACCGACCCATACATGCAATTTCATGTTAGAAACCCTATTTTAGGTATGATGAGGTCAGATACTATGTTTTGCTGATACGAGGGGTTGGGTAGGTCAGAATTTCCCGAAATGGTCGCGTCTGAAATTTGCTGATACGAGGGGTTCGCCGCGGTGAACTATGGCAGAGAGCTTTGCTTCGACAGACGATGTTCGCCGCAGCAAAAGCAGAAGTGTGCCGCAGCGAACTGAGGCAGAGGATCCTTTCTTGCTTCTTGTGCCTTGAGTTCTTCAATTCTGGCCCCAATCTCTAGTGTCCTACAATAAAAAGCAACAAATTGAAGTATCAATTGCCCTAGAAATCAATTGAATACAATTAATAACCAATTATGATAATTTTATCCTAAAAAAGACACTAACTTAAAGTAAGGACTCTTAATCTAAATTAAGCACAATTATCATTAAAAAGGGCCAGAAAATACCACAAAATCATGGATAATGTAATGAAAAGATAATAATAACTTGAGCTCAATCAGCCCCACAGCACTCTTGGCTTCATCATCCTCTAACCTTTTACTATCGTTGGAGTCTACCTCAGGAATTATATCCTTTACCTCCCAGAGAGGCTGATAATATCCGGGCGGTAGAGTCGGGTCATCAGGGTCAGAAACATATGGGTGGTACCAGTCTAGGTATGGTTCCCCTAGCCCTCTCTGATCAACTGTACCCCCAAGAGAATCATGCTCACAACAAGCCATATCCTGCA